AGAGACCTTGCATTTTGTTTATTTTATGAAAGCGTTGACATTTCTAGAATTTCACGTTTTGTTTCACAAATAAGRCTGAGATTGTATTTTAAGAGTTATKTAAGTCACATGAAGAGATATCATCTGCGCAGGCTTGACTTTATGGGCAATCGCTGTAGAAGTTTTTAAATCGCATCCAATTGCACCAGATAGTCTAAAACAAAAGCCAGGAATGTCGGTAGCGAYCACTCCTAGGTCGCTTGCTAYAACTCCCAAAAAGGCATCTTCAATAAAAAAGGGCTTATGAAATTGAGTGTAGTTTAAAAATTCTGGGAGAACATCAGTAGATAAAACTTTCACAGATCCCTGAGCGTACGGTGGATAAACGTTCTCTGCGAACTCTTCTTTGGTAAGGAAAAATCTACTCGYCTTRTCACGATTCACTGTGGCACCTTTTTCCAAAAATCCACCATAAAAGGGTAACTTGATCGAGCTTGTATTTAACCAGTTATATAGCCAAGGTAGACGAACATAYACATCGTCATCAGTTTTCAACACAAACTGAGAAGAAAATCTCGAAAAGACCCAAAAAAGATCCATGAATGTTTTATTGATAAGATTTCTGTATTTTTCCGTAAAGTTTCCAATGATAATGTCGTTGAACGTCATGGCTTCATGTTTATTGTATTGATTATTTTCAAGATTGGGACTTGTTCCTAACGAGAAATATAGCCTCCATTTCAATGAGTCATCGTCTCTTTTTCCCCAAGTGTTACGAATAACAGCCCTTGTAAAGCGATGTTTAGCCTTGTTTGCATCCGAACTAACAACAACGACCATAAAAACATGTTGCTCTTCGCAAGATAGAATCGGTTCAATGTAAGGCATCATTAGAGGAAACTTGCTCCATCCACTTGGACTAACTTCGAAAAATCTTTCTTCAAAGAAACACTTGCTACGGGATTTAGGAGAAGGTTCGGYGGGGACGGTACGATCAGCTCCACTGATTTCATACTTAAAAACTACTATATATACTGTAAAACAAGTCAAACAAGCTACTAATACAAAAGGAGCTTTCTTTCCTGTCTTTAGAACTTTAAAAAGTGGTAGAAAAGTCATATTCACACAACTTCCTCTCATCAGCGTCGGTTTAAAACTGAAAATCAGAATAATCACAACGACTAAATTAAACGGTCTTTTTGTTATTGTATTGTTTTAACCCGTCACATGCAGTAAAATATGAAACTCCGATTTGGCTTATCAGCATTTCGGAACAAGTCATGTTAATTAGGATTTAAGCAACATAGATCAAAATGTGAAGTAACGAATCATTGCGCACCATCGCTCTTTTTTTTTATTCGAATTTTCTTTTCCTTTGAAGTTTAGAAGCTCGTATAAAAAAGTACTCATTTTTTCGAAGTCTCATCGAGATTTCGGAATAATTGTCACAAATTTGTTTAAAGGCGGATGTACTACAGTTATTATAATGGAATGCAGAAGTAGGATCCACTCCACTAGCTTGATATTTGAAAACAGCAAAAAAGTACAAAKCCGAAGATGCTAGATAATGATACAAAGAGATGAAAGAAAAACTTTTTTCGAAGTTCAGAAAGTTATAGAATACTCACATTGTCAAAACCCCCAACACTCATATCAACATCTGTTTGGCCTAAATATTAGATAAGGTATCAGAACAGGTAACTAAAAAGCTGTAACATCGTGAAGTCGGCTTTCCTAGTATAGTGTATATAATGAAAAACAAAAAAAATAATTACTGCCATAGTTCGCAACTGAATAAAACAAGATGTCTGCCGTCTAAACGAGTCACGAATGTCTGTTTCGTTTTAGAAACTTCCGTGACAATTTCGGTGTCTGAAGGTGAATATTGAATAATGAATAATGGTTTAAAATTGACTGGGAATAAATGAATAATTCGATAAAACTTATAAGGAAAACTGAATAATGAAAAAAATCAAAAAGTTAAAATGAATAATGATAAAAAATCAAAAATATAAAAGAATAATGAATAATAGCAAAAATATGCAGCTATTTCAAAAAACGTCAGAGAGAATGGCGATTGTCGGGGAGAACGGCGATTGTCGAAGGGAGATTCCACGGCAGAAAGGGACTGTTTTGACAAACAAAAATCCACTTATTGGATTATCCTTACATAGAAATGGTGACTAAATGAGGCCAATGTTTACCACAGACCATCTTACGGTACAAATCAGTTGTTATTGCCTTTCAACTAGCAAAACCCATGGTTGCTTTCGGTCGTGCAATCGCCGTTCGACAATTGACATTCGACATTTTACCCGACTACCTTTTATGAAATAGCTACTATATACAATGAATAATGAGGGGAAATAAGACACGAATACAGAATACTTGGCATGTAAATATTCACCTTCAGATCCCGAGCAATTAATGAATCTCGAGTTGTGAAAGTATCCAGAAATAGCTTGTTAAACAATATTTTTTTCTGTATTGTGCTGTAACGAAACCGTATTTTATTGTAGGAAATTAATTAACTAATTCTAATCTACAAAAAAATTAATATTTATGAGCTTTTACGGGCACATTTTTGCTGATAAGCTATTTCTATTTTCCRCATGATCACCAAGAGATGAAAATCCGTTATGCGAAAAGTGCTCTTTTGAGGGGCGAGTTTGCATATCACGCAAATAGCACGTGCTTCGAATGATAAAAGAAACGAGAACAGGGAAGAAGCTAAAAATTTTTTGAAAGGTTTATTCATTTGCGTCGAAGTAATAAATTCATGACATACAGGTTACAGCCAAAGCATAAATCAACCACAATAATTGTTTTTGTTTTTGTTTGTTTTTCTTTATATTCAACAAAAAATGGCGAGATCTGTACGAAAACGAGGCAGGTAAACAAACTCCAAACCAAAATGGCCGCTACTCAGAGTACCTCGCTCTGTGATCTTGAAATAAAATGTTGTTTTTTGTCTTGTTTGGGTCTTTTTGGGTCTTTTTGGAAAATCAATCTTAAAGTATAAGCTATTAAACAGCATGGGTTTGATTGTTATAAGAAGATATCTTCAAGTGTACTTATGTCTTGTTTGTTTTTGAGTCGACTTTAATTTAGTGTCTGTCGTGTCAGATCTGATTATCAAGCGCCGGTCCAGGTTGCATTGAATATGGTTTAGGAGAGTTTCGTACCACAGTGTGACTTCCACCTTTCTTAATTTTGATTGTTTAATTCATTGGTAAATACTGAGCGGATTTACTTTCCCAAGAAAAACAAGTGAACTTAGTAAAAGTCTAAAGGCAAATGCAATACTTCAACCACAGAAAAATTGATACTTTCTTTTCTAACTTAAACAGTACAGCATTAAACAGACGATCGAAAGGAAGATCCATCGAGCAATATATGTACGACTTAACGACTCACGTAACCT